GCATTCCAAGCTTGTTTGTCCAATCTAATNTGTGCCCCGCGGTCTCCTTCTATCCAGTATTCAATTCTCCTAAAGACCATTTCTAAAAAAATAGTCTGCGGGCACATCCACCCACAGAAAATCCTGCCAAATGCCACGGTAAATAAGGCCACAAAAACTACTCCTATAATCATAGAGATCACAAATAGGTGAAAATCTTGTGGCCAGAACGGAAAACTAAAAATACTAAACCGCCGCTCTAAGACATTAAAGAGTAAAAACTGATGCCCGTTTATTTTCACAAAAGGAGCCACCAATAGAAAAGTCAATAAGAAATAGCTCACCCATTTTCTGTAATCGTAGAAACGGCCTACAGGTTTTTTAGGGTAAATCCAAGATCTTTTCCCTTCTTTGTTAATGGTGCTTATACTATCTCTAAATTTTTCTTCCATCCAAAACTATTTATTCTACGGCATCGGCCGTAGGCCATAAAAGGTCTCCATCTGCTTCTTTCGGATTGGCAGGCGTGCTGCCTTGCATCCCAAGGACATAACTAGCCACCTGAGCCATCTCTAGGGGTTTTAGGTTTTGTTTCCAGGCAATCATTCCTTTTCCGTCACGCCCTCCTTCTGAGATGGTGGTAAATACTTTTTTAATACCGCCACCCAGAATCCAGTATTGGTCGGTGAGGTTTGGACCAATTCCACCGCCCCCATCTTGCGCGTGGCAGGCTACACAATTGCTGTCGTAAATGGCTTTTCCAGCTTTTAGATCAGCGGCCTCAGTAAGCAGGGTAACCGTGTTGGCGTCTACGAGGTTTTTAGCGGTCTTTTTGTATTGCTCAATATCTATTTGTGCCTGGGCCATCTCTTGTTGAAATTCTAGGGTCTGATCGTATTCCTTTACAATATGGAAACGCACCAAATACACCACCCCAAAAATCATGGTAGCGTAAAACATATAGACCCACCAAGGGGGTAAGTTGTTGTCCAATTCTCGAATACCGTCGTAATTATGGTCTAGTGCTATGACCTCATCCGGACTTACCTTATCATGTCCAACTAATTTTAAATACCACCTTTTCACCCAATTAAAAGA